TCTGAATCGTATTTTGATATCCGCAAAATAGCCTCGAGTAGTTTTAGTTCCTGCGGTTTCACCGAGTGTCTCGCATTCGGGGGTTAGTTTTATTTTTATGCCGCAATACATTCGCTATCAAATCCATTTTATTTGGCCGAAGAGTCAACCACCAAATAAATAGTCCACAAATAAAGCGACTCCACTAATGGAGCAATTTTGCTAAGAGTTTTAGCATTTAAAGCTAAGCTTAAAGCTGAAATCGAGGGATAAACTAAAGAAATGTAGTTTTTTTGATGGGAAATGTTAGAATGTTGATAGTATTATTATTATTATTATCATTTTATTAAAGGCTTCCCAGTGCGAAGCTCGTATATTAATTTATAATTTTTTATTTTTAGGGAATTTAGCATAAACTGCACATTTCAGTAACCTCCTCCAAAAATACCCGGCCTTCTAAGCATAATCAATTAATAAAAAATACAAATCAGGACACAAACAGCGGCTTAAGACGCGGCTAACCATAGAGGCGAGTGCAAGTGAAGATTAGAGGAAGGAACTTTAATCTTTAATATCTCCCATACAAACCCTTCAATTTTATTAAATTTTTTCGACATGGCTCTGTATTTTAGCCAAAAATTATTTTTAAAAAATGTTTTATAAACAATATTTTAAAAGCAATATTTTATAAACTAATATTTTTTTTTCTTCTAATTTTAAAAAGAAACTTGATCTTTTTTAAACGTACAAGAATTCGGTCTCTCTTTTTGGTAGCTGTGATATAAAGGTGTTATTTTAACTTGGCTAAATCGCTGCGTCTTGTGATAAATATATAATTTAAGCCACAACTTGAATTCAAAACTATTTTTAATTAAAGCCACACTGAAACCGCAACATTTTCCCTCTTGATGACTAATCGAAACCCTCATAAATTAGAGCCAATTCCCATTCATTCTGTTACCATAAATCAAGCAATTCTAGCAAAGCTCTCATATTTTTTGGCAATTGGCTTTAATTTATTCTTTCTCCCTACCGATTATATCATCGTTCCGATCCAACCGCCATATATGCTAATCAATTTCAGCTAAACTGTGCAATTAAGCGAGCGATTTTTTAATTGAGATACGCGGGGGGGACGGAGTCATCAGCTAAGTAAAACTGAAAAACTAATTTGATGGCGGAAAAAACGGCTGAAATCCAACCGCGATGAGCTCCTGTCGTCGCCTGTCATTTGTGGGTGTTGCAAAACAATTTAATTAAAAAAGCGCAATAAAAAGTGAAACAGAAAAAACAAAAAAGAAAAGAAAACAAAGCGAAAAGGGAGAAGGTAGAGCAAATCGCTCTCTTTCACAAGAGTGCAATTAAAAATTTAATTTTTAATTAAATGCATAAAAGTCGCGACTTTCAACGACTTTCCAACTCCCAACAATCGAGGGCCATTCAGGCGTGGGCGTGGCCACCAATTGGGGGGCGCCACAGGCAGTGGGTGAAGGGAGGGTGGCAGAACCTTAACGAAATTGCAAAATGGTTTAATTAAGCGAAGCGGACCGAAAGCCAAAAGTCTCGAATGGCTGGCAATAAGAGTGTCATTATAATTGTTGACAGGCACAATGAAGGAAAGTGCAAATCATCGCCAGGACCTCGGCGAGGACCTCTACCCCCAAGCTCCGGGCAACGCCCCAAATGAAGTCGCAAGAGAGAAGGAGCGAGTCTGAGAGAGAAAGGGAGACAGAGGAGAGAGAGAGAGAACGGAGACGGATTCGTGCAGTGCGTGCATTGAATTAATAAAATTGTAAATAAAGTCGTGCTCGAAGCCAAAGGAAAATGGCAGCTTACAGGGAAAACTCCCAAGGCACTTGGCAAATTTAAGTTGAGTCATTGGAAGTAAGGGTTTAAATAACAATTTTAGATGTATGCATAAAAAGGTGATTGTTAGAGGATGTATTAGGGAATATATAGAGATAATATATCGAGAAATATATCGAATATCTATATATCTTAATAAATATATCTAATATTTTACAATACTATGTTTAAAACAACTTGAAAAATCGATTTTTTAGCATTTTTTTTATTACCAACAAAGATAGTGTTAACTAAGCTTACACACTTAAAAAAATATTAATTTATGAATTAGTCTTTTCGTTAAATATCAAACAGCATATCGTTTTATCGTTAAAATATCGATTTATCGTAAAAATAACGATTTATATATAAGTTATTGCTTTAAATTTTGATAAAGAATAGATATATCGATATTTTCTGTCAACCCTTAGGCAAATAGTTATCATTTTTAAAAAATGGGGCTTATTAATCCACTTGATTTATTTCTGAGATTTCTAAAAAAAATCTTAAATTTCGTAGTGTACAAATTACATTTCAATATTTCCTCCTAAAATCTGAAAAACCGATAAGCAATTACTTAATTTATCGATATACTCTCAAACCTCATACCAAGTTCTTACCGTACCCCACACACACATGCAGCTGTGTGTATCGACTTGATGTGAGGCAATCAGGGCCACTCAAAAAAAGGCAACACAATGCCGAGAGAGGTAACCACCCACAAGAGGTGGAAAATGCAGAAACCGTGGGGGAAATGCGTGCCCAAAAGAGAGAGAGAGAGAGGAGCTAGAGAGAAAGAGAAGGCTAACCAGCTCCGAAAGCTGATTCGCCCACACAAATCTCAGCACAAGAGAGATAGAGACAGAGAGGAAGTGACATTTACCGGGGAGCGGGGGGGAAAACCCGTGAAAACCCAGGGAGAAAAGTGGCAAAAACTGGGCTACAGTTGGGGGAATCCCCCCATGCAATCAGGCATCTCTTTGCCTTATCACTTTGCCCAGCTGTTGAAGTAGACCGCAAGTCCATGGCCATGAAGAGTCAGGAAGTCGCTTGGCCTTGCCTGCAACTCCCCACTGCCACCCACAGAGCCACCCGCTTCGCTTAATGTGTTGCATTTATCCTGCAGCCATGTCGTGAGTCTCTGGCTCTCCGGTCCAGTCCACGGTGTGTATGTGTGCAGTCACTGCCAGAAACCAGAAAGGAGAGAACTCTGCAAATGCTGGGTAACTCCTAGGGCTAGACACGAGAAACCTAATTTCTGAAAAGCACTGCAAGAAAAATCATACTTTATATGATCTATTAAAAAGGTATTCTATAGTGAAGGCTTTGTTATAAACCTTTTCCTCCAGAAACTAATCCTTCAAGAGGCTTTTATTAAGTGCCGCCTCCCTGAATTTTTCCCAAATTTTTCCGCAGTGCATTGGGTTTCCCGGAGGCCAGGCGGTGACTTGTGCTAGGCACACTTTCATGTCCACGTCCTCGTCCACCTCCATCGACAGTCTGCAGTTGGACTTTTCAGCTTTTGCCGTTTCGGGCGGTTTCCAGGGGCTGGCGTTTTTCGGCTGCTTGGGCGTTTTGTTTGCATAAGGCTACGGTGCGGCGAGGGGCGGTTCAGGCGAGGGGCGGTACAGGCGAGGGGCGGTACAGGCGAGAGGTGTGGTTCAATTAGCCGGCCTCTCTGGCCGCCCCAGCTGCAGCTCAACTGCAGCAGCTCAGATGCAACAGTTCAGGCGGCGCAGCTTCCAGCTGTGGGAGGCCCGCGTGGCACGGGTTAATCTCGGGGAATAATGCCCGGGGAATATAGAGTGGCGAGGCAGCCATAGGTGGGGTGTATTGACGTTGAACTTCCCCATAGTTACGTTATATTACGCGACAGGCTACTGTATTTTATTGCAACGCCCTTTTTTTGGTCAAGTTTAAACCATGAACTTGAGGATTTTTGCCACTTAAACTAGATAGTAAGCAGGTGTTTATTTATTTTAAAGTTAATAGAAGGGAAAGTGGAGAATTAGGATATTAAATTAAGCTATGTAAGGAATTTTGTATTTATAAAATATAATATTTATTAAATAAATAACCATTTAGCTATTGAACAAAATTATATATTTAAATAGTAAGTAACACTATATTTACTTATTCTTAAATTTAATGCAAATCCTATTTTATTGCTTAATAGTTTCAAGTTTTCTTTAAAAACTAACAAATATCTTTACACTAAAGTCCAAAGCCGATTCAATTGTGTCACCTTAGTCTACTTTCGGGGCGAAACTTGGGTGGAAATGCTTGGCAAGCAACCCTTAGCTTTCCATATCTAAAATCGGCCAAGTTTTAATACTTTTCCGAAAGACTGACTAAATTTGGTTTCGTTAATTCGGTTCTTGCTAAAACAAGTAAAAACAAAAAACATATGAATAACAAGCAGGTCCAAGGGGTAAAGTAAAGCAACTCCCTTTCGGTAAAGCCCTGATAACGTCGGGCGATAAGCCCGAAAACTGGAAATGGAAAACAATTTGTCATTTTGCTGAGCGCGTAGAATTTCGCTTCCTTTTTTTGTTTTTGTGTGTTTCTCCTTATTTTTGTTACTCGTACTTTTCCGCCGATTTTCAGCAGTTCCTGGAAAACAACAACACATTTAATTTAAGAAAAACACAGAAATGCTGGCTGCGTTTTCTGCTTTAGCACGCGATGGGAGCGAGTGAGAGGGTGGCGGCTTCGGGATGATCAAGTGCAAGCGAGATGCCACTAGGGCACGTGTCGCCCGGTGGTGTGTCTGCCTAACCATCTCGCTCGCACAGCGGCCATCGCTCTAATTATAGGTTAGGGCGCTGCGAGCGAAAGACAATGCTGCCATTGGCCAGCGCTCACAACGAGAGAGGGGGCCGGAACAACGGGAACTGGTTTTTCCAGCCTTTGGTTTTTATGAATGAAACGGAACGCGCAAGAGAGACACGCTAATACGCGGTGGTGGCTGGCTGGCAGTTGTGTCTCTACGCTTGTCTCGCTCGCACGGGGGGGATATATCACCCGCCGGATGTGCTCTGCGACCATCTCGCTCTCGCTCTGGCTCTGGCTGTGACTCTCCCCGAAGCCAGCAGCAGCGGTGGCGGCGGCAACGGCAACGGCGACAGCGACGTCGACGAGCGGCCAAGCTTTTTGTTCGCGTGAAACAGTTGCAAGCCTTTGAACGATCAGCGACGACGGCGTTACTTTTGGCGCGGATACAGCAGCGAAGCGACACTTTTCCGTTGGCCCTCGCAGGCGCCTCCTGTCTCAGAAACAGAAACATAAACATAAACAGAAACCGAAGCGGACAGAGCGACACAAAACAACAAACAAAAACAAGCCTAATCCGAGCATAAACAAGCCTAAACAAGCAGAAACAAGCAACCCGTGGACAGGCGACACCGGTGGCCCCCCCGTGAATTTTTTGGTTCGACATTCCTTTGATTTTTGATCGCTTACAATTTATTTTTTTTTGCCTGTGTTCCTTTCAACGAGAAATAAAAACCGAAAATCTAATTAAATCAATAAATATAAAGCAAATAAATTAAGCAACGAAACAACGCAACGAAAAAAGCAAAAACGAAGCATCCAGTGACAATAAAAGCAGAAAAAAAGACCCAGCCGACGGCCTAGCTAAAGAAATTTTAATCAAATAAAACATAACTAAAATAAATCAAAATAAAAACCAAAATAGTGCCGACGGCCCAAAAGATACAGATACAGTTACAGTCACAGATACGGATACATCTGAAGCGCCTGCTGCTGGGACTTAATCCTTTTTTGTTTTTTTCTGTGTGCGTATGTGTGTGCCGTGCCGCGCTTGTGTGCCTGCCAATCCATGTCCCCCTCTCTGTTTCTCCCCCAACCACCAACCAGTGCGAGTGTCCTGCGACAACAACAACAAGTCCAAACTATTTGAATAAAATTTTACAAACAAAATAAAAAATATATAAAAAAAAACAGAGCAAAGACACCACCATTGTGCGCCTCAAGTTGACAGCACCGCAAGCGATAACTGCAACGGCCGCAGCAGCAGAAGCAGCAGCAACAGCCACATCCGCAACAACGATGCTCACGGACATGACACCGACGGCCGGCCAGCTCTACGGCTCCCAGATCCCTGCCATGGGCATGAATATCTCGAACATCGCCACACATTTGCAGAAGCCACAAGTTAATCCGGTAAGCCAGAAACGCCCGAGATCTATATCTTTAACTGAGAGGATGCAAAGTATCTTGTGGGACAATCTCACTCCAGATACATCTACAAATTTGTGATTAGAAATTACTTTCAAGAAAATATATCTAAATATGGGTTACCATTTATAGAAAAGCTACAGTTTATAAAAGTATCTTATAGGACACTTAGAATGGAACATTACCTCTCTAGATACTTTTAAAAATTTGTCATTGGAACTTTAAAAAAATATTTCAGAACGCCAAGAAATACCTTATATTCTTTAAAAGATTATGGTTTCAAAAGTATCTTATAGGACAAGTTAAGCTATGGCAGGGGACAAACTAGATACAAAGGGTTTTTTGTGTTTTAGACATAACTGGAGTTCACATAAGATATAAAACTTTTAGATATATATATTTTACATATATATATCTATGGATTTTATATTATTTGGTAAAAGGAAGGCTTTTTCAGCGAAAATATAGAGCAACAGCTTTTTGAATCCGTTTAAATATTTATTTTTTCTAGGATTAGCAATCCGAATATTGCAATAAAAAATTAATTCTTGTGTAATTTATGTAAATAATTTATAATAAAAATATCTTAAAAACTTAGATATAATATCCCAAAAGTGTGATCTGAGATAAAAAATATATACTAAAGAGTTTATATATTGCTTTTGTTCTCACAAAAACTCCCAACCATCTCCCATAAGTATAGATCCCAAAGATATCACTATTTCCAAGTTAAGTTGTTAAATTTTCATTTGATATGTTATATCCCAGTTTTGCACTACAAATATGCATTAGGAAACTCCAAAAACAGTGGCAAGTATCATTTTCTCATTGTTCAATCCAAGAAATAGTAAGTGCCTCAAATTACACCCACTTGGCCGTAACCGAAACTGATCCCGAAAAGTATCTGTCAGATACACACACATACACTCGAAGATACACACGTGTGATCTCACTGCGGACAACAAGTGCGCCGACGGGCAGGCATTCTCTGAGTCAACTCTCCGGTTAGTCATGATTTGATGAATGCATCCCACAGATCGCAGCATAAATCATTCCTTGACTCGAATGAGCGTGGCGAATGCAAACGCTGGTCGACCAGCAAAAGTATCTTACGGATACTATGTACATATTTGGGAATTTAATTCGGTGGATAGACCCACTTACACGGCATTAGCTTTGACAATAACAGCAATAAACAAACACACACACACACAGTTGTGGCGCCGCGCTATACGGATGCGGAAACGGATAGGGATAGGGATAGGGATAGGGATAGGGATTGGAATTGGTATTCTTGAATTCGCATCCCGGGGATATTCACAGTAGCGCACACCTTTTGTCAGCCGCTCAGCTGGACTCCCTTTGTCTGCCCGCAGAGTCGATGATTGAGCCGGGCGAGAGTATCTTATGCCTGGCTGTGAGAGATACAAAGATACTTGCATGTATACATACATATATATTCCTGCAAATCGATTGGATGCGGCTCGTTCAGTGTGCAAACGAATTTTAACGCTACGGCTTAACAGATACGCACAGGCCGCCGCAGCCGCAGATACAAAGATACTCAGGGGAGGCCAGGTAGGCGCCGTTTTTTCGGGTTGAAATCAATTATTCAGGCTCACTTGAGGTGTGAAGCTAACGATGGAATGATGCGAGTCTAGGATTTGCTTCTGGGATTATTATTATTATGGCTTTGTAGATCGTATTTCCACACAGCCTTTTTGACTTTTCGACGGAAGCAAACACTTAAAGGCTAAATCGCAACAGCAGCCATGCCATAATGATCTTCTTTCTGGCCCCGATCTGCCGAATTCGCTCATCAATTTTCGGCCAGACCTTTGATCTGGCCCGAAACTAAGACAGATTTCCGCTAATGATCACTGATCACTGGACTGGCTCCAGGGGACCCTATGCTCTCGATTTCAATTAGCAAGGGGGTTATGTAAGTCACCTAGTATTGCTTCATGAGATAATATCATATAATACTAGGCTTAATGTCTGTATTTAGTAGAAAAAGTTAATAGATTTAAGTAAGAGGGGTTCAGAAATTAACTCAAGCATAGTAAAAGTATCTTTTAAGAATTTTCTTCAACTTAAATGGTATTTTTCTCTTTAGAAAATTTTACAAATATATTTATAAAAACAGTATATAACCCTCTATATATCTGCATTATTTCCCAATTAAATACCTCCTTCTTTTCTGTCACTTAGTTAGCTAACAACTTGAAGCTATCATTCTGGGCTTTGTCCTTGTTGCATGTTTTTAGCGAATTGCATGACACAATTTTAATAGAGTCAGCAACGCCGAGTAGGCGCAATGTGATTGAGGCAATATGATTGAGGCAGCCCCCAGTCCCCCTCTTTTTCCCCCAGAGGCCTGCCAAAGTGCAGACGCCACGCATTTGCGTGCGGCCATAAAAAATGTTTTCAAAAACCGCAGAACGAAACGAGCTGAGCTGAGCTGAAAGCTGCCTCTGGTATCTGCATATTGATGGGGCAGGCGGGCAGGCAGAGAGTAAGAGCGAGTGGGGAACCAAGAAACGTTTATTAAAATTAATACCACATCAATCATTTAACAAACGCGCCTGTCGGCCAAGTTCAAAGCGGCCAGCGACTAGACCAAGACTACAAGGCATAGCACATCTCTCGCATCTAGACGAAACTCCAGGGCCGTGCTTAAGAAAGTTACACATGCGCATTGGTTTTAATTAAAAGCGTTTAAGGCATCACAAAAAAAATACAAAAAAAAATATATAAGAAAAAAGAATAACAACAGCAGCAGGAAAGATGATAAATTACCGAGACAAACTGAAATTAACATTTGTGCCTGGAAACAAACAGAGAACACAGACCTATGTGGATCCCCAGATCACAGTAAAAGCTTAGCCCCGGCATCTAGGGATTATTGAAAGCCGCTGTTAAATTATTGAAAATCATGCAACGATCCGCGGCATTTTCCCATGAACAGAGAGCCGCCTCAGCAGCCTCATTTGTTCAGAGTGCGCAGCTCTCGTCGTCGGCATAATCAGCATAACAAAAGGAATTAAGCAATAAAATATTAATGAAAATACACTCGCTCACAAAGCGGTAAGATCGCCGCGTCATTGACTAATTTGTTTGTGGGTTCTCCGGCTTCTCTGGGCTTCTTTCTCTGCGCGCATCACCAGGCGCCAGAGATCTGGCCGGCGGGGAGTGGCCAGCGGTAGCCGTGACAGGCGCCCCATAGATACTACACTAGGAGAAATTCTAAGCCAGTTAAGGAAATAAATTTGAAGATTTTGAAGATTTTTAAAAATATTTTTAAAGAAAAATTAAAGTTACAATCTTGAGAAATGGGTTAAGCTAAACTATTAAGTTTAATTATAAATTTTCCCTTATAATCTAGATTTAAATAAGGTTATTTTTCAATTGGAGTATAATTTTTAAAGGATTTTATTTTAAATTTTTAATGAAAAAATACTTTTTTTAAAGGAAATTGTGACATCTTTTCTTTTAAATATTTTTTTATTGTATTATCCTACTACTATTATCCTTTAAATAAATTACCTGGAAATTTCTTTTTTTTTTTAAGAAAAGGACTTTTAATTAATTTTATACTTTTTAATATCATTTTAATCATATATTTGCCTTTTATCTTCAAGTCAACACCTTAAACTTCTTTGGTATTTTATAACATTATTTAATTTAAATTATTATGAATTGTAATTTTTATAATACCCCCGTTTTTCTTAGTGTTCTCACCTCCTTTTGGCTGCTCGACATATTTACTTAATATGATTTGGCTTAATGAATGCGCCTCGGCTTTGTGTCTGCCCCTTTGCTACCCTGTAGCCTTTCCTGTCCCCTCTCTCTCTCTCTCTCTCATTTTTTGTATTCCCTTTTTTCCTAGTCTGGGCATTTTTCACCTTTGACAAAGGCTGAGCCCGACGCAATTAACTTGCGTCATTTGGAAAATTAGTTGGCATGATGCTGCAAAAAAAGGCAGTGAGAAGAGAGCCAGGAGAGCGGGAGAACGGCGGCGGCACAAGGTCGCTGTTCAAAAGCGCCGCTTGAAAAGCATTTTTCAATTTGGTTTTTCCTTTAGTTTTCAATTACAAAGACCACGCACCAAAAATTCAGACTCCTCTGACTTGCAGAAAGAAAACCTTGTTTTTTAGGGGCAATCTGTCAGCTCGTCACTGGGTGAGAACACACGTTGCGTATACGCAACGCTCGAAGCCATAACAAATTTGCATAGAAAAATGGTTAAAAATGGAAAAACTGGAAAGAAGGACCCTGACCAGAATACCGATCAAGCGACAAATAACTCAATAAAATCTATATAATGACAGGTGATTTATATCAATAGGAGACAGACTTAATGGAGTTTGATTGTTGGAGTAAAGACGAAAATAAAAATAGTTTTATGAAGCCAAAGGTTTGTTTTTCCTAAGCTATATATAAACATATATATATGACATATTTGTTGGCTTGGGGGAATACTTTGAGCTCCGTTGTTAAATGCCTTTTTAAAATATAACCCTCTGGGTAGGGTGAGGCTAGCACGCCCCTAGGGTTCAGCCTGGATAATTGAGATTACAACACGTGTTAACTGCCATTCAAGTACCGCTCCCCGCCACCTTTCCCCTCTTTGGACAATGTAATAAACAATTTAAATGCCAAATAGAATTTATGCAAATTCATTGCTCTTTCTCTCTCCCTTTAAGAATGTTTAAAAAATGCTAAAACTAATTGAATATATTATATATACATATATATATATATATATAAAATGTGGTTAAATACAACACATTTCCCCCCTTTCTAATGAATATGAATATGAATTTGAGTGCTCAGGGGCCGCCGAGTGATTGACTGGACTGGCTGGCTGACTGACTGACTGACAGAATGACTGACTGCCGGCCAAGTGCATATTAGATGGTCGAGCAATTACCTGAAACAGCAGCACCAACAGCAATCACTCAGTGCACAGAGAGAAATGTGGG